ACATCCGAACAGCATGGTGAGAGAATCGGAACTCGACACGTCTCTTTCGGAAGCACATACATCCGCCTTGCATTGCTGTACACCAGTTCTGCGTCATGTTCAGTGCTGTTGGTCACATCAACCACGATGTACCTAAAAAAAAGTTTTTTTCCTGATGTTTGTAAAAAAGTCACCAACCGTGAGAATGGGCTATCTCCCGGGAGTACGTGCCATGCGGAGACGGTGACCGCCGGGATGATTGAAACTGCGATAGGAAGTTTGCACTTTCGCTCAAAAGAGTGTCCCTCGTCTGACGTAATGTCCGAGTGGTATCTCACGATGAATTCCGCGGTGAGAAGACGTCCAGTGAATGGGATGAGGTCCATGTCACTAGATTCTGTTTCAGAGTTTGCTGAGGTATTAGCCAAGGGGATAACACTTTCAAGAACTTTCTCCTCATCACTCAAATCATCAGCAGTAGATGTTGGATCGATTCCAAAGATGTGGAATTTGAGCTCTCTAGATCCATTGGGTTCCAGGACAAAGCTCGAAAGATCATCAGAAATTTCAAATCCATCAAACTCTGGGGCATGCGTCTCCGAATCGTCAAGTCGAATGAGAGGTGGACCTCCTTGAACAATCGGCTGCCAAATCTTGACACCGCAATAGCGAACCGGAATGTCACTGCTGTTCACAACTGTGATAGTGTGATCAAATTTTTGACCAGAATAGACAACTGCTTCTGCAGAAGGCTCCTCGTTGTCCTCGTCGATTGGAGCACGTGGAAGGGAGCATTCCAAATAGACTCTGGCAAGTTTGGGTAGGACCTTGACACGAATCTTGTTAGGTTTGTGACTATTCCCGTTGCTGGTAACAAAACGGCACTCGTTGTGAAGTCCAAAGATGTTGCAAGAGTAGCCAGTGATGAATAGGTCGCCGGGTTCTCTGAAAACAAATGTTGTTACAAAAACAGGTCGGCTCTTAAATACTGCCGGCTTGTAAATTCTGGTCAGAAGCGAATGATGTTGTTCAGAACAGCAATTCCTCGGATTTTTCTATTTCAGAGCGAAAAAAAATGTAGAAATTTGCCGCCTTGAGTTTTCTAGGCCATTTTGCTGAGCCACGGTATTCTGTGTGAGTTCACTTGCAGGAAAATCCATACGCCTTTGCTGTAAAGCTCGTAAATCGCTTCAACTTAAAGGCTCATTGAACTTTTTGAGAGTTCCTTAGCACGCAGGGCCGTGGCCTAGAAAACTCCAGAGTTATTGACTATCGAGGCGGCAGCAAACTTCTGATTTTGTTCACTTTGGATCACCGCATAAAAGGGCTTGGATTTTTAACGGATATTTGGCAGTTTCTGGAACTAGCGTTTCAGAACTAGCGCAGAAAACCCTTTTTAGGGGGCCATCACCCAATTTCGTCAGAATAACTTTCTTAAAATTTAATAAAACTCACTTCGGCACTCCCAAAAGTCGAATCGTTGATCCCGAATTGTTCTCCTCGTCTTCAGGTGGCAAAATGAGGCGAGCTTGAACCGGATCAAAATTCACTCCTTCGACAATCAGACAAAGATCACGAACGATCAATTCGGTCTCACGACAGTTTCTCACAGTCACCTCAACCTCGCCAGGACAATCGGTCACCCACAAAAGTGAGTTATCGACCTTTTTGCCAAACGGTGTGTAGATGAAAATCGACGCTTGACTCTTGTCGGGAACGATTGTTGGCACCAAATTCGGTTGGAGAGCAAGCACTGTGGGTGTTCTGCAAACAAATATTTGAAAATTAATAATAATAGTCATTTTGGCTTACTGAATAAGTGGGAATCTTGTCAGTTGAAGTCCTGGGATGATGATTTTCCCATCATCAACCACAATAGTCTGGCTGAGTTGGTGTACCGTGGGTGTGGCCTTTACCAAGTTGTCTAGATCATCAAAAAGTCGAGTCGTCATGGAACTGTCGAGATGGGGGTAGTAGACCTGAAACAGTTCAGCTTATAAGCATCAAAATTGCCGGTTCTAAAACGGTAATTTCTAAAATAAACGGTTTTAAAACCCTCCAGCTTCAGAATAGGCTTATTTCAAAATAACCGGTTCTATAACGTCCAGCTCTAGAACAGCGGGTTCTAAAACGTACACTTTTCGAATAGATATTTGTAAAACGTTCAGTTCTAATATAGCCAGTTGCAAAACGTCCTGTTCTAGAATTGTCGGTTATAATACTGCCGATTTCCAGAATAGCCAATTCTTAAACGTTCAGTTGTAGAATAACCGGTTCTGAAACACCCAGTTTCTAAATAGCAGGTTCTAGAACGTCCAGTTCCAAAACTACCGGTCCTGATGAAGCTCAGTTCTAGATTAGCCGGCTCTAGAGCGTCTAGCAAAACAAAATTCAAAAAAGTACCTGAAGCAAAAAACAAAGATGTCGAATCGCGGCATCACGATGGCCAGCACGATTTGCTGCTGTGAAAATTTCATGAAGAGACTTAATTTGAAGCTTCACTGGACCCAACTTCTTGTTCTTCATGTCATGTGGCTCGTTGAGATCAACACCGTACCCTTCGAGAGTTCTGAAAAATAGTTTTTCATAATTTTTGAGCGTTTTCAAAACTATAACTTACTTGAAAAGGACTGGATATACGGTTTTGTAATCACTCGCGTGTCGAACCCTTCCCTCTGTCACATGAAGCTCAAAAAGGACACTCAATCTCGCATAAAACGCTTGTTTCCGAAGAAACCCAATTTCTTTGTACATGGCTGCCGAGTTGAGACAGATTTGTGCTTTCATACGATGATCCATAAAAGTGTTCGCATCGTCGAGATATTTTCCAGTGTAGTCACGATGGAATTGCTCGAGTTTAATATACTCCCGCTCCAGAATCAAATACATAATTGCACGCATCACAGTCTCATACTCTAACCATCCGGCCATTGTGAACTTGGAGAACTCGTCAATGGCATTTTTGAAATTTTCCATGACTCGCTCTTTTGTTGGCTTCTCCCGCCTGAAATTCCAACTATTTAGAGTTGAAGCACAATTGCTCAGTTACTAATAACGCACCTATCACTAAGAAAGTTGGTGAGCGGATTCAGCCCTTTTGACGCTTTAATCTTGGTTGGTTCCTCTCGAATCGACGGCGATGATCCATTGCTAACAATTCCACTCTCATTTCCAAACGACTCATTCCTCTCCATACTTCCTCCGGACATTGACGAGTTTACCCGAATGTGTTCATCTGAATGGTGTCGTTTGTGTCCCTGTGGTGAGCTGCAAATCATTTGTTTTGATTTTTCCCTAGCCACTGGGATACCTGAGAACGCTGTCATTCGATACGGATAAACTTTCGCCGTTTTGCGTCTTGATTTCGATCGATGGAATTGTTAGCATCGCGTGCATGCTGGCAACGCGGTGAAACGCGCCGCAGTTAATCTCGCCCATCTGTTCCGCGTGAAGGATGCAGACCGTACTTGCCCATCCATCATATGCCGCTGAAGAAAAAAAGGAAAACGTTCGACCACACCCAAGATACATATATGAGATTACAAAAATCTGAAAGAAAGAGGAAAAACAAACCTGCAAGCCACAAATGATCCTGAGCGGATTTCAGACTCTCGATTGCTCCTTCATAAGCTTCCAGCGCCAGTTGAGGTAGGCCGGTGAGAAGACAGTAGTCCGCGTGTTGTTTGCGATATCTACCAAGACACTTCTTTCTGGAAAAATAAATGCAAATTCAGATTTTTTGCAGATAAATCGTTCTTGAGCATTAATTTCAAAATTAACACTTTTTTAATCGCAAAATTTGGCTGCGTGCCAGTTTTTAGAGACACGTTTGCAAGTTAAAGCGACCGCCACGCCGACACGCAACGCGTTCAAAATTGAGGTTTCCTTCCGCGTTGCCTTGAATTCAATCGAAATCTCTTTCTGAGTTTTCTTGAGTTTAAAAATATTTGTCACATGGAGTTCGCGACTGCTTAATTTATTTTATAGCGGTGTGGCACCTCTTCAGAGGCTTTAGGAGACAAAAATCGAAATCGTTTTTTGCGGTCCATTGGGGCGGCACCACCACCCAATTCTGCAATTTTTATTCAAGCACTCACTTGTAACTCTTCGTTGACTTTGTCTCCACACCAACTTGCCAGCGAGATTCATCCGGAAGTGTTGGACATGGAATTTCTTGCTGTAAACACGAAATTTCACAATAAATTCTTATTTTCCCGCTTTAAAACCAACAAACCTTCTTCTCAAACGATACATCAACTCGTTTCATCTCGATGACAATGTAAATAGCTCTCATCAATTCACGAACGGCACTTTCCAGTTGGCCAGCCTCTTCCAGACTTGGGAAACAAAGGCGTTCATGTCTCTCGACTTGATTGAAGTCTTCCTGAAACTAGCGCAGTGGTTAGAATAGACTAGAGGAAGAAAACTTACGTCTTTGCCTCCGATGAGAATACACCGTCCACAGATAATATTCGGGTAGTCGGCCTTCAATTTGTTATATGCCGATGAGATCTGCTCCGATTCGGAGGCTTCAGAATCTGTGGACTCGCGAGAGGCTCGAATCGATTTGTCCGGCTCTCCATGACCATTTGTGAATGCGACACCAATGACAGCAAACACGCGACGATGTTGCTGTAAAAAAGTTTTGAAAAATCAATAATTACAAAAAAAAGATCCGCCACTCTGTTTCTTTGTCAGGTACTTGTAATTTTCTAGCAAAAAGAAGGAAAAAATCACCTGCAACTCGCTGAATTCCGTGTATGACGAGGTTTGTGTAAATGAGCAGTGGAATAGTCGACGCGGATTATCCGAAACTTGAATGACGCGTTGTCTCGAGCATCTCTCCACAATACGCTTGAACGCCGGAAGTGATTTATTTGGCCCTATCTGAAAAGTATCTTATTGGTTTGCCGTCGTTTTTCCCTTTTTTGACGGTCACTCACCTGTTTGATGACGATATTTACAGTCTGTACATCGGTCAAAAAATCTGATGTACTAGATTTCATCTGAAGATAACGATGAATTGTGGCGGAAACGACTAGAGCGAAGTTTTCACCAGAAAGCAAGAAAAAAACGTTGCAAAAAAGAAAGAGAAAGAAAAAGGCCACCAAGAGTGAGCGATAAACATCGCGCGGGGTGAAGAGACGGCAGACACTGCGCGTCGGTCACCACTCTGCATTTGCGCGTCGCGGTGTACTGCACATTGACGCGCACAACCCTGTGACAGATCCTGTTTTGTTTTTCGTCGATGGATTATCCGATTTCGGGGGAGATGAGAGGAGAAAACAAGAAAAACAAGTGTAAATCACATTTTTATTGGTTTTTGGAAACATAATTGGCAGGAAATGTAGTAAATACAAAAACAAAAAAAAACTATTTCAGGTGTCCAGCACGTTTATTGTACCACCACTGAGCGGTTTGTGAGCGGCCGATGGTATTAACGAGGGCCGATCGTCAAATAGTGTTGGAGAATTGTAAATAAACATTATGTTAGCCGCCATACTAACTGCCAAGAACAGTATTAAGAATATTCGATCGATGACAAGAGACATGAGTTGCCACTCTTCCGTTATCTGGAAAAGAATATTTCTGAGTGAAATAGATTTTCTAAAAAGCTACCTTGCTCTCCATTTGCTGATTGTGAAAATGTGCGGAGATGATTTTCAAGTGACCAGCAATTTTTCGAAACAAATCTAGATTATCTGCGACGCACCGTTGTTTCAAAGCCTCATCCATCTGAAACAATCGTATCTTTTTTAAACTTTTCCGTTAAAACTGACCTGCACAAGACTCAACAGCCTTAACCTTTGTGGTGGGAAAACTGGAGAGCTATTATTAGGATTTGGATGTTTCTGGGTGACTGAAGCAGTGACAGATACTGATCCGGTTCGAGGAGTTGTAGTTTCGCTGCCATCATCGAATTCCAAAGAGTGTTCCAAGGTTTTCAGACGGAGCAGCTTCGGGAGTCGTTGGACGAAGAGCCATCGCTGCCAATGAGGCATTTCAGAGGAGAACGCTTGTCTGAAATATATAAAATCAGGCTTGAGGGGAGGGGGGGGGGGGGGGGGGAATAATAGGAGTATGGTTATTAATTCCTGTGAATTTCAAACTCAATTACAATAATAAGATCAACGAAAATGTATTTTCCAGCCGATTTTTAGACATTTCGACCATTTTCAAGAATTCGGAGCTCGGCTTTCAATTTTCCAATCATTTAGGAAATTTAAGAAAGTGTGCCCTAGATTAAAGACTTTGCCTTTACAGAATTTTTCGAGAATTCCTAGTTTTCCAGCTATTGGTTGGTTTTGAAAAGACACCAGTTTTTCACGATTTCAGTACAAGTCGGGAAAAAATGGTGTTTTTCAGGAATCGGTAAATAGCTGAGAAACTACGAATTTTTAATAAAAATTTGTAAATGCAAAAGTTTCGATCTAGCTCTGTTTTACACCCTCCAGAATTTTCAAAGTGATCGGAATCGTGCCAGCCGAGCTCCAAACTCCTGAAAATGATCAAAATGGCAAAAACCCAACTGAATAAAACGTTATAATGTATCTTATTGACCGGTACTTTAATCAAAATAGTTTCGAAGGGAGTCTGCAAGGGTATTACTTATCTAGTTTTGCAATTTTGAACTCGAAAAACTCACTTTCGGTACATGTTAATCGTCACCACGGAAAGAATAATCGATACCGAGATAATGAGAAGTGTAAAAAGGAGATATACACCTGTAAAAACTCATTTTTTGCGTTATAACATTTAATTTAATATCCCACCGATAAGAGAAAGAGATAATGAAGTCGGTGGAATAAGATCGATGAGTACTAGGTAAAACACAGAGAACGCCACAAGCACCGAGATCGAGTATGTCATTTTGTGCTCATTGGGTAGAATTAGAAATACAAATGGAGTGATATTAGCTGAAAACATTATTTTAGCCTCAAATTTTCCAACGAATTAGGATCTGTTTGATCATAAAGAGACCATGAAGTGTTTTTCCGGTTCAATACTTTGCATGCTCATTTGGGCATGTTCCGGGTTTATCTCTATCTTTATGGTCCCGCTAAAACTGAACATAGCCAAAAAATTTACCAATCAACATGCAAGGAATGGTGAGGGTCACAGTGAAAAAGATGGCTTTTCGGCGAATGATGATTCGGTACCTGAAAAAATTTAAAATTTTTCCCCTATTCAAAAATCAATGTCTCACTTGATATCAATGTAATACTGCTGTCCACAACATCCCGGATAGATTTGAGCATAACGCGACGAGGTGGCACTGAGCAAATCCCATTCGGCACTTCTAAAAAGCGTCATAAAATTTGATTTGAACACGATGTGAACAACATGTGTAGATGTTTGGTGCGACGACTCACTCGTGATAAAAACTGAGACCCAGCCCTTTTTCGAGGTACAGAAATTCCACACCGTCTTCTTGTTGTTTTTTCTGAGGTTCGTCGTTCACGTCGACAGGGATTTGGTATAAATCTAGGGTTTCTCCGTCGTTGGACCATCCGCCGAACTTCATCTCACATGTTTGCCAGTCATATGGGAAGTATTTGATGTTGATCTGAAAATTTTTAACCCAGTTATGAATTAAAAACCAAATTGAAGGGTCATTACGCTGTTCTAGTGGCTATGTTCACACCGTTTTACTTTTTTGTTTTGTTATCATGAACAGTTCCGGTCAATGATATATACAAAACGTATTTTTCAATTGATGTTTGGTCATTTTGACCATTTTCAGGAGCCTGAAGCTTCGTTGTCAACTTTCCAATGATTTTGAAAATTCTGGAGAGTGTGAAGCAGACCTAGATAGAAAACTTGGAAATTACAGAATTTTTCAAAAATTCCTAGTTTTTTTTAGCTATTCACCAATTTTTGAAAAAAAAGTATTTTTTGCCAGTTTTTGTATTGAAAACTCGATAAACATTTTTTCAACTTTTTAGTACAAAATGGGCCAAAAACGGGCGTTCTTCAGAATCCGATAAATTGTATGCTGTTCGAGCCAATGCTACATACTAGGAACATGGTTTAAAAAAAACCAAAATACTTATGTACAGTACCGGTCAATAAGATATTCAAAAAAATTTGTTTCAATTGGTTTTTGGTCATTTTCTACCATTTTCATGAGTCTGGAGCTCGGCTGTCCAATTTCCTATCATGTTGAAAATTCTGGAGTATGTAAAACAGACATCGAATAAAAAGTTTGCATTCACAGAAATTTTCAAAAATTCCTAGTTTTTTTATCTATTTGCTAATTTCTGAAAGTCGCCTATTTTTTACGTTTTCAGCACAAGAACTGGTTAGGTTTTCAGAAATCGGCAAATATGTGAATAACTGGGAATTTTCAAATATTCTGTGAATGTGTAGTTTTCAATCTAGGTCTGATCTAAATCTCCAACAGTTTCAAAGTGTTTGGAAAATTGACAGTAATGCTTCAGACTTCTCAGAATGGTCAAAATAGCCTGACCGGGCATAGGAACAAAGCCAAGCCGTGCAGTCCAGCAGAACAGATTTCCAGGAACTTTTTCCGCAAGTTTGAAAGAACATACCGGACAAAAACTTTTATAAATTGATGGAGGTTGCCAAACAACCCTTCCATGATGATCGATTTTCGCCAAACTGGTGATCGTGATGTGTGGCTCCCCGTCAGCGCTGGAAAATGAAATTTTCAAGATTTTTTCAGAAAAATTTGAATATTTTTTAATCTAAATCTAGCAGAACTACTGGAAAATGAGTTTTCAAAAAATCCGAAAAAGCCAAAACTCACTTATTATACAAAACAATATCAGGAATCCAAATTTGATCCGACGGAATGTGCACATATTCAACTCCACCCCAATCACTCGGATTCCATGTCAGTTTTTTATCGTACCATTGCTAAAAATTCACATTTATCATAATTTGCTTTTCAAAAAAATGAAACTCACCATTTCTAACCAAAGACTAGTGGTTAGAACCTGATTGACCTCGTCCACATCAATCAACCTACACAAATTGGCTCCAAACTTCACTTTCAAAGCGTCCGACGCATTGTGTACGGGTCGTACTGCTTTGTTGTAGTCCGTCATAAGATTTTCTAATAATTGAGTGGTATGTTTGTTGGCGCAAATTGGGAGAATATCTGGAATGAGTCAATGAAAAAAAATTTGGAACATAAAAATTGGGACTCACAAATAATAAATATGGTAAACTGAAAAACTAAACAAGAGCATCTGAAAATCCGTTGTGGTATCCACATAGGTAAAATCGGTATGTCTGGAATTTTGAAAAGATTCAAAGTACTCCCTATCAAATTTCAAAATGACAACTACAGAACGTTGACAGTTGTGTCTTTCTTGACGGGGCAAAAAAAGTGTGAGAGTATCAATTGGCACCAGCCAAAAAAGTTTTTGGCACGTTTATTGTGTAACACTCGGCTGGCCAGATTGCCGTTTGGAACGAGAAGAACAAATTGGTGGGGTAGGGTGCCGACCACAATTTGTCTTAGCGGCGCCAATTGATAAATAATGAGAGATATTATCATCAAAAAAGAAGATAGAGGGAGACGAAAAAATGTTCTTATCTTTTTGAGCAATTTTGAGTCATTGAACGAAAGGTGGTCCCAACCAGAAAAACACATTATTCTTTCACCTAGCATCAGGTAAGACGGGGCCAATAGAAAAAGCTGAAGAAGCAAAAGAAGAAAAAAAGGGTGTTAGATTTGATGGCTTGGAAACTGATGAGATGAGGGGCTAGCGGTTAAAAATTTACAACAGGGGGGAGTCGATTATTATGAAGATCGACTGACAGGTGCGGTCGTCGGGGCACACAACTGCCTGCTCGTGTGATGCACCCTACTGAAGACATATCCTTCCGAAACGTGAGATGACTTCTTCGCCATCCCATCCTATTCTTCTTCTTTGCACTGCCGAGTTCACTCATTTCAGTGTTACACACAGATGTCGACTTGATGGCTTATGTATGTTCCTCTTCTCCGCGACGTTATCGTCTCGTTTTTCAACTTTATCGGCTCGTACGAGTTTATTATACGGCTCCTTTATATCCTTTATATCTCAAGGCGCTGTATAAATTGAATGCGAGAGCAGCCGATCAAATTTATCACTGACGACACTTGTCAAAACACAAACGACAGAAGACAAGATGGCAGGAGATGGGAAAAGCTGTGATAAAATTGGAAGACTATAGAATATATTTTGTGTCAAAGTTCGCATACATCTTTCGACGCATTCTAAAAATCGGATTAGTTTGGTGTCCGCTGGGAATCTTCCTCCTCCCACGCGTAATTGCAAAAACAACAAGCGAAATGTTTATTTCATTTGAAGGAGAAGAGAGCGGGATCTGAGAAGAAGCCTAATTATGAATATCACAGACGGGCAAAAGGGAGAAGGTCCAAAATGGATCAGGAGAGTCTTTTTTTGTTAATTGGCAGAAAAAAAATATATAAATAAATTACAAACTTTGAAGATTTTGGATTTAGACAGATTTGTGGCTATATATTAGAAGTTTACAGTATTCAAAAATTCAGAGTTTCAATTTGGCTGGTTTCAAACAGATTGTGTTCTCATCGTTCATCTCGCACAGTTTCCTCGACGATGGCACCGATGGCATTTCATACACTGTTTTGTAGAAATCCACAGCGGCTAGCGACATAGCCGAGTATGTCTTGGAGAGAATCGGAATGAGGATGCACTGATGGCCGACCGCGATGATACGGTAGGCGCGAGACTGGAACGGGTCCGAAACCGCAGGGCACATGATGTTGTTCAGGTTGACGCGGGTGATCTGGAAAATGGGGATTTAGAAAGTTTACTGAGCTAAAAATGAGTGATTACTACAATACGGTCATTAAGATATACAAAACATGTATTTTTCAGCTGATTATTTACTGATTTGACCATTTTAGGACTTTGGAGTTTGGCTGTCAAGTTTCCGGTCACTTTGCAAGTTTTGGAGAGTGTGAAAAAGACCTAGATTGAAAGTTTGGCAATCGCACAACTTTTTAGATATTCCAAGTTTTTCAGTTATCTGTTGATTTTTGAAACATACCTGTTTTTAAGGTTTTCAGTTCAGAACCTAGCAAAAAAAAGGGGGTGTCTCAGAAATCGTCTAATATCTGAAAAGCTAGTAATATCCAAAAAATTTTGTGAATACAAAGTTTTTAATCTAGGTTTGTTTTACCGGCACGATAACCAAAAAACGGTTTATACACTGAATACTGTAGATAGTGACTAGAAAGGCGCCTTAATCCAGTAGTTTTCTATTCCTAACGTTTTCAAAATTTAGATCAACAGAAAAAAAAACCATATGATTGGAAAACATGTGAAAAAAAATCTAACAGGCTTACTCGATGAAAAATACGCTTGCTGACATTTTAAGTAACCTAATTTAAATTTTTATCTTCTTATTCCAAAGTTTTGCGACATTTTGGATAATGTATGCTTGTTTGAACTGTTATAGTATTTAGCTTTTGCTCATCAAATTTTATGAGAAAAAAAATCCGGAAAAGCGCAGAATGAATTTTTTGCGAATTTCGATGGTCGGAAGTATCAATTTTCTAATTCAAAAACCCCGTTTTGCATATTCTTGATTATTTTATAAATTTCAAGCATCACCGAAACTGCAAAAAGCACGAATACCGGATTTTGTACGCGTCTTTTGAGCTCAATTATCTCGGTTCCTATGATAGATATAAAAAGCTGTCAACTAATGAAACAGTGATATTGTTATGATAAACAATTTATCAGTTGCCCAGTATTTGACATTTTTCATGGAATCCGTGATAATTGAGTTCAAATTTCCCGCATAGGAGCTTGTATCAGAGAGAATACGGTATTTTATTATAAGTTTTACATTTTTTTGCGCCCGCTAGTCCATGATACTTTTTATTATATTCCCATTTCCCTTTCCACTAACCATAGCTCCAACTTGAAGAATGACGAAATGATAAAGTGAAAAGAGTGAGATCCCAAAAACCGTCCATCCAAAATCGTAAGCCTTCTCCGGCTCGAACGCCCCCTGTATGTACATGAGATACACTGGCACCACGAGAATCGCAATGTGTTGCGCGTAGTAAATGAACACTTCTCCGGGCAGCTGCAAAAATTGGATTTTGAAAAGAAATCTGGCTCTTTCCCCTACATTTCTTGTGTTCAAAATTGGAAACGCCAACGCGAACCACGCACCGGGCATAAAATAGAGCATCAATCGGAAGAGGAAACAGGCTTTTCTGAAAAGAAGGATGGAATTTGATTACCCGGAGAGGAGCGAGGAGGAAATGGTTTTTTATAGTGAAGATGCGCATTTTTTTTCCTGCAGTGAAAAGGGTATACACTTACTTAGAAGTCCCCTCCATGGTGAGTAACATCAATTGCATTGTAGTGGTGACGTGGCATGGGTTAAGTAAGAAAATTCCAGTTCTAAAAATGTAATTTTTGGTTGCTCATGCGGAAAAGGAGTCGTAAACTAATTAGAAATTTAAGTACTCACTTTGAAATCATCTTATAGGCAAGCTCGGCGCCAAAAATAAGACTATATACGGTGAGTATCACATATCTGGACACGTTTTTCACGGGTAGTGTAAATGAGCAATCAAGCGGAATTGACATATAGGCTGCCCAGAATGAGAGTGGGATGAAGACGATGGACTCCAAAAATCGCTGCCATGATGGGAGATACTGTAATCAATGAATGAGTAAAAAGAACAAAGAAATAGGGAACTCACATTCATACACTCCTCCCCACCATTGCCTTGAATCGAGCTGTCAATGCCACCAATGGCAAGTTCCCAAATGACGTCGTACATCACCTTTGCATTCTGAAAGAGAAAGAATAATCTTAATATTGATGGCACAATGGTAGATATTGTGTTATTTGTTGTTGGTTGGGACAAAAAACAGCACAAGACGAGTGAGAAAGGAGCGATGCGAAAAAACAAAAATAATGTAGAAGGAAAGAAGAATTTCGCGTTAATATTATTACGGTTATGATAGGAGGGATGGGGAAATGGGAGGGAAGAAAAATTGTGCGCGTGGGTGTACCGGAAATCCCTCGATGCCACTTTTTTGATCAGAAGGAAAGCGGAGAAAATTGGAAAAAAAACAAAAATATTGCTGATAAAAAAGAAACTTGTGATAAATTCTGATAACTTTATCAGTAGACATTAGGAATTCTCAAAATTCAGTTATGCGTGTAACTCTCTTCTAATTTCATGGCTACACAGCTGGAGCCAAAACCGGAACGAGAGCTAGAAAAGCTTACATAAACCGCCAACTTCGAGCTCAATTATCTCAATTTCTGTGAAAGGTATCGAAAAGATGTCAACTGATAAAACATTTCTGATATTGTGATAAATAATTTTTCAGTTGACAACTTTTCGATATCTTTTACGGAAACAAAGATAGCTCAAAGTTGTCGGTTTGGGTGGGCTTCTGTTGAAATATGGTATTTTTAGGACTTTCTGAAATGTTACTGAAACTGGATAAATAATTGAACACTAAAAAGTAGGAAATTTTCAGAATGTTAGTAGTAATTAGCATTTTGAAAAAATCAAAGTTTGAAAGTCCGGAAAACGAATATAAAACTTTTTAGAAATGTTCAACTATTTGTAATTTCTAACTTTTGAAATTTCTAGTTTTTTTTAATTTTTAAAATTCTCTAATTTTTTTAAATGTATAACTTTTTAAAAGTTCATTTCTAAAATTTTCTGATTTTTTAAAAATTCATTTTTCATTTTGAAATGAATACTTTTGGAAACTTTTGAAACTCATTTATGTTTTTCTCCAAATAACTTGAATGAAAATTTCAATTTCATAAAACGGCAAAATTTCAAAATTTGACTTCCTAGAATAATTCTCAACAAAAACGGAAAAAAATCTCTGAAAAATTTTCTAAAATGTTTTTGACGAAATTATATTAACCAACTGAGAAAACTCGACTCTATCTACCTCTTGGCTATACAACTATTAGGTTGGCAGGAAAGTAGCTGTCCATTTTTTATTAGTAAATAACACAAACACAAGAATAATCCAGAATTAGCAATATGAGATGTCGTGATCCACAACATGTTGGCAATGTTCAGGTAACTCGTGGGTACCATCCCTCCAAAAGCCAGCTAGTGGCAAGTCAAAGTATCCCTCCAGTCCATTTTTTTAGGCATCAATTGTGTTAAAGTCCTTAAGCTCCAGATGACGTCGTATACTTTTGAATAACCAATGATCTGATAGAGCTGAATCAGGTCTTTAAAGGGGGTAAAGGAGAACCGTCCAGCCAAAACGGCTCAGGTACGGCGTGACTTTCCGTGAACATGAGGTTTTTTCATTTTTTACCTGCAGTCAAGTCAGACCTGAGCAGCTTCAGCGGTACCCTTCTCCCTCACCTACATATAGTCCCGACTGATCTCTATGAGATTATTGGATATTCGAAGAGATACAACCTCATCTAGATAATACGAAAATTTGCACCATTTATGTGAAAAACAGGAAAAAATGAATACTTTGATTCGTGACTAGCTGGCTTTTGAAGGTATTGTATCCACAAGTTATCTGAGCATTGCCAACATGTCGTGGACCACGACGGTGCATACTGCTAATCTTGGATTAATCCTGCTTTTGTATTATTCACAAATAAAACAAGGGACAGTTACTTTCCTGCCAACCTAATATGATACCCCTAAACACTTATCAGCTCTCTCATACACACCTCACTAAACCTCATTAATCTAAATGTATTAACCCCTCGAGAACTTGCCTTGGTGCTCCTTCTGTTTTCGTACTGCAAATGCTCAAATTTCTCACCCGCGAAATAGTTGGACAGCATTTATAGATTGCTCTTGAGACTAATTTTCAAAATTTTCCCCCCTCGTTCTTATCATTTTGATCAAAAGCTGAACGACAGGTTTGATAAGAAAACACAAACATAATCATCAACGAGTCTTGAAAATAAATTTTTGTCAGCAGAAGTTGTTAGTCTAGGAAACTAGAAGCTTCAGCAAATTTTTGGTTAGACATGAGGTAAGAAGGTAAAAGAAGACAAGGACTCGGGAAATTCGTACCTGCTGAATGTTCGGATCGGAGGAAATAGAAGACGGAATGAATAATGTTTTATTCATGAATGTGTCATTTATGACAGATGGAAAAACACCTGGAAACTCCAGTTTAACACGAAGAGAAACAACAGCCAAGGTGTAAGGCCGCGGAACTGAGGGTTAAAGGGGGTGGAGCCAGGGCGCCCGAGGTGAAACAAACTATATAGTTTTGTTATTCAGCTGATATTCGTTCTCCTTCCTTCTTTTCTCTCTCGTTGGTTAGTGATATCGTGTTAACGAGGCATGAAAACGAAGGAGGGGGAGAGGAGCGAGGTCCAAGCTGAATGGAAACAAGATGAAGAGGAATGAGAGGGGACGGGAAAGAGTGGTCTGTGAATTAGCCACAAAAACAACAGAGAGATAGGGTGACAAAAAAGAGGAGAGAGAAGGAAAACGGAACATTTTTTTTTTTGGTTGAGAGAATCAGGAAAGTTACTTTTCTTGTTCCCTTATTTTGGTCTTTTAGTGTTGGATGAGTAAAAGACTCCACACTAATTTCTTTTCAAAATTAATGGGTTTCTATCTTTTCTGTTTTGTTTTTTTTTTCCAAAATGACTGTCAACAGGATTGGGCATGAAAATTTCGAGGCCCGAAAAAGGTAAAATTTAACCAAAAATCCGTTAAAGTTCCTGAAAAATTTTCAAAGAGTCGTCAAAAACCGGAATAAAAACTTTTCGAGAACAAAAGCTTTTTTCCCAGTTTGGCTCTATTTTCATTATGTAGCAGTAAACAATTACGGTGAAATTGAAAATTATGAAACTTATGTAATCTCACATTTTTAAAAGAAAAAATTAGAAAAAAAAACTCAAAAAAGTCAGTTAAAAGACCCAAAAATCGCAAAAATGGTTGAAGCTTTTCCTGGCCATCGCCATGAGGTCAATGTGATGTTCAAGTGATTTTTTGCGATTTTTCCGATTTTTTCGAAATAAAATTTGAAAAAAAATTCTTGACGAAAAATTGGGCATCAAAACTACTTAGTACGTCTGAACTACCGTAATGCTACATACTCAAAATAGTGTCAAACTCGGTTTATTAAAAAAAGATTGTTTATTTTTCAAGTTTTGAGATTTTATGGATTTTACAGATATAATTTTAGAGCTATCCGTTCCGTAAAATCGCTAAACTTTCAAAAAATTGGTGAAATCCAAAATATCTTGTAAACGTAAAATTTTAGCCCTGCCGCCCACGAAACGACAACAAAACAATTTGGATTTCTGTCTGCGATTAATCACTCTCTTCACAACTAGTTGTTTAGAAAAAAAAGGACTGGCCACCAAATTTGTTCCGTTTTTTTTTTGTTTCTTTCCTTTTCCTTTTTTAAATTGGACGGGTTTTTGACAAAATTCAGGGAACTAATAGGTCAAAGAATAACCTCATGTGATTAGCTGACGTAATATCCAATCATGTTGAAAATTGAGAATTTTCGCCGCACACACACACGAGTTGAGCACCAACTGGGTCAAGTGAGAGGGAAAAATGAGTAGAGGGAGGAGGAAGGTGAAAAATCAGGGAAGAGTTCAGGAGGAGAAGAGGACAAAAGTCCTTTTTTACGAGTTGCGTGGGCTGTGGGAATTTTTATATTGAAATTTGATATTTTAGCTGTTCGAGCTACATAGAACTTTGGGAAGGAACCAAAATAAGTACAATTGCGGTCACAAAGAATTTTTTGAAGTATTTTTCACTTGATTATGGGGCATATTTTTTGAAGTATTTTTCACTTGATTATTGACCATTTTCAAAAGTCTGAAGCTCATTTATCAAGTTTTGGTCACTTAAAAATTTTAGAAAGTGTAAAACCTATCTAGATTGAAGAATTTGCATTTTCCTATTTTTTCAGCTACTTGTCGATTTCCCAAAGAAACCTTTCTGACCAGTTTTGTGTACACGTAAATGCAAAAAAAGTGACTTTCCAAAACCAGCGAAATGCTGAAAAACTAGGGATTTTCGAAAAATTCTGTGAATGCAAAGTTTTCAATCTAGGTATGTTTTACCTTCTCTAAAATTTTCACGGTGATCAGAAGCTTGCCAGCCGAGCTTCAGCCTTCTAAAAATGCTTGAAATGACCGGAAATTAACTGGACATACTTTCTCAAATTATTTTTTAACCTGTATTGTATAATCCAAAAAACGATTACAAAAAAATTTGAAAAGCTTTGCAATTTTACTGAAAACTGAAAAATTCAGAATACCCTCATGAGGTCAATTCAAGGTTTTCAAATTTGATTTTTAGAAAAAAAAACTTTTTACTCACACTTTTTTGAACTTCAGACTTGACAATAAAATTCATTTGTTTTCGTCTGATAAGAATTTTCTGTTATCTTAACTTTATTATCATTGATAGATCACAATTTCGATACCAAAAATCGAAAGTCTCGATTCTTGAGAGACTATAAGGATCTTGAACTTTTTCAATACTTTTTGTAAATGTTTGGTTTCGGTGTCTCGCCCACCGCGAGAGCTCACTGCTCTTCCGACAAGTGGTCATTATTATCGCAACGAGTTGATAGGGGTGAGGGCAAAGTGCGAAATGTGTTTGCTGTATGTCCTTTAAAATCAGGAACGAGAAAAAAGTTTTGTGATGCAAAATAATGATGGAGCAAGTGAATAAGAAGAAGAAAAAAGTAGAGGAGAATAAAAAAAACTAGAAGAAGCAAAAAAGAAGAAGAAGAAGAAAAAGAAAAAGAAAAATGGGCGGAGCAGAAGATACAAGTAGGCGCGAGA